ATAATATTCTACCAAAAATATAATAAATGAGATTTATTTTTCTATTTTACTCAATTTCACTTACATTCTTACATATCTCTTTTATCTCAAATTTAAACTTTAAATTTCATGTATTATATTTACTAATTAAAAAAAAAGATATCTCCATTTGCTACATCTATTAGTACTTTCCACATTGACTTATCACCACACTCTTTTAATTTATAATTTAATAAAAAAATATAATAAAATTTTAAAAATAAAGATAATAAATTTATCACTTTCTATACAAGTTTAAAATATTTTCTACAATTATAACTATATTCATTTCTTTATATAGTTCAACTATCAAGGACAAATACATTCTTCCATTAAAAAATATAAATGCTTCTATATCAAAAAATTGCATCCGCAACCAACTAATTATTTCAAAAGCATTAATATATATCTTATACATAATTATTTTATCTATGTTTATATATATTTTTAAAAAATTAATAAAATCCTTCACTTTAATTATAAAATTAATATAATTTATTTCATTTCTTATTATTTTATTAATATGTAAATTTATAAATTTAATTAAATAAAAATAAATAAATAAATATGATTTATAGTTGTTTATGAGACAGAAATTATTATTTTTAAATAAAAAAATTTATAATACTATAAAATATCCATAATATATTAAAAAAAAAGTTTTATCTTATTTTCATTTAACTTCTGTTTATAAAAAAATTATTTTTTTCAATACAACATACTTTAAAATTTTAATCAATACAACATGCTAATTTATTTATTTTTTCTAGTAATGAGCAAAATTGTACAGCAAAGAACACTTCAAAAAATAGTCATGTAGCAATAAGAAAACTATTTTCATCTACTTGCACTCACATTTTAATCCATCTAATCCACTTAATTTACTTAGTTGCCTATGTTCTGGATATAAAAGGCAAGACACATCAATCTTCATCTATTACTCCCACAATGCCACTACTTGTATCAACAACAATAAAATACATGATTTAATTCAACATTTGTTTTACAATTCAACAAGGATATGACTCTGCAATTGAAACCAGGGTACAAATCCTTACTAAAAAATGCACATGATCCAAGCTACAGCTGATCCAAATTGTTCATAAAAGCTCATTATTATTTCAACCACCATCTCAATTATGCCTTAAGGATGCTATTTTCAAATATATGAGCTCACTATGATGCAATTGAAGCAGTAAATTTAATGTTTGTTGCATTTGCAAAATCATTGCATAATGTTGGATGTAGAAGAAGCTGTGTGCACCACATTCTAAACAGCCTCAAAATCTCATTTGAATAAGATGATCATGTCATAGAGCAAAACTAGATCTTATTTATAGATAAATTAATACTAATTTTATCTTTGACATCATAACCTTAAACTTGGACTTGGTTCTGGATGTTCTAATACCAAAGATGGATTGTCCCATGTCTATGTGGTATTTTAAGAGTACTATGTCATTGAAGCAATGACAAATACATCAAGTTTTTAAGCCTAAGATTAAGAGCTTGTTATTTAAATATGAAACCTATATCTTTCTATTATTAGCTTTTAATACATTGAAATAACTTATACAAATACATTACAAATCTATAACTTTTGCTATAGCCATATTGCATTGACCTTACTAATGTATATATATTTTGTATCTCTTCTATACATTTTCATCTTTTGCATAATTCAATTGAGTTGACAGATCAATTGGCTAGTTGATAGTTTAATTGACAAATCAATTTCAACTACAATTGCAAGCAATTCACAAACTAAGAGGTTTCAAAATTACAAAGATGAGTTACAAATAATGGCAAACACTTAAAACCATCTGTGGTGCAAATTTGATATATAAATTTAAATACAATTTAAGCATAATCTTGCTTAAATAACTAAATTTTCATTTAAGCTTTTATCTTATATATTCATTATTATTTTTTAATATGATGTCTGTTATTTTTTTTCTAATTAATTATTAGTAGATTCTTTGAGTTTTAAAATAATATTGTATTTTTTATTCAACATATTAATTTAAATTGTTAATAAATAAACTCTGATTATTATTTTTATTTATTTTAGAGACATCTTACATAGACAAAGTTTGATATTAATGCATATTGAGGTATAATTCACCAAAATTTCCTTTTTGTTGCACATTTATTGTTCTTTGTCAACAAAGCTTACTGCTGTCATGTTAAATTCTTTTATTGCTTTTAACTTGTCTTTAAGACCTTTGCCAAACTCTATTCTTATTAGTTTGCATATTTATTCTTTTTCTCTTCTTTCATTTAGTTTATCCATTCCTAAATTTTTAGATCCAATCTTCTCTATTGTATTTTTTTTTTTTTATTGTTTCAAATAATCCAAATCAAATTTCTATTTGTATCAAAATTATGTGGTTTTAGATTCATTTACTGTATTTTATTTTATATTGCCATAAAGTTAATACTTTTTAATCTTTTAAAACTACCTTTTATCATAAAAATGGTAATTATGAGTAAATATGGTTGCTATATACAAATGTGTGTATATATATATATATTTAAAATTATTTATTTATTTATATATGTATAAATAAATTAAGATGATCCTATTTCTTGTGTGATTCTAGAAGAATATGAAGGAATATTAATGCAAAATAAGGAGAAGAACAAATCAAAATATTTTGGCAAATCCTTATAATCTTAAACTATAAATTCTAAAAATATATATATAAGTTAAATTTTCTAAATCTAATGTATAAGAAACTATTTAAAATTATTTAATTATTATTTATAATGTGAATAAGTTTAAATTTATTTTTATTTTTAAAACAGTGATATAAATAGGGTTAAATTATTATTTTAAAACCTCATATATTCTAACCATATATAAGAGGTTTATGAAGTTTAAATATATTTATTAACTTTATATACTCATTAAAGATGAAAATATCAAAATTGTGAAGGTTGATTAATTTAAAACCTCAAAAAAACATGTTTTAGGATTTTTTTATTTCTAAAAATAAATCCTAAATCCTGAAACGGTTCTTAAATAAAATGTGTAATTTATTTTTAAAAAATTAAAAACATCAAAAAGCAAAAATCTAGTCTTATTGTTCTAAAATATTCGTCTAAAATAATCTATTTTAATGTTCTAAATTCTTAATCTTAAATCTAGAATTTTTAATCAAATCCTCAATTCTAACCCCTAATTTTAAATCCTTAATCTAAATTCCAAAATTTTATCAAGCTATAAGTCAATTATAGAGCTAATGTTGAATCTAAAGCTAAACTCTCTATCCTTCACAAATAAAGTATTGGTTGGACAGTCTTACATACTAAAATCCTACATCATAAATTTTAAAAACTAATTCTATAGTTTCTAAATTTTAAAATTAAATTTTTTAATCTAAAATCTTAAACTTATTAATTTGCAATATCAATTCAAAAATCTGAATAATTGAATTCATAACAACTTCTAAGCTAAATTTGTTTAGAATTATATATATATATATATATATATATATATATATATGGAATAAACGACTTCTAAATTAAATGAATAATCAAATCAAAACTTTTAAAAAATATATCATATATAAGAACAAAAAAAAAAAAAAAAAAAAAAAAAAAAAAAAAAATTTAAAAAATGGATTAAGGATTTGCTTGCTTGATTAAAAAAATAATAAATCAATAAAGATGTCAAAAAAATTAGATATATATTTAATTCTAAATTTTAAACAATATATTTTCAAAAGAAATTTGGCATGTTTCATAAAGTATAGTCACTTGGCTTCAAATTTTGGATGAAAATTTAGTATTTGGAATTTTTCAAAAGTATCAAAGTATGCAAGAGTTTTTGGATTTTTAACATTAGATTGGCAAACTTTTGTAAGGGTTATATATATCAAGCATAATAAGTTTTATGACTTCATAAAAATGTTATCTTTATTTGATATGTAAGAATACTTATATCAAATCAAAGCTTCAATGATATAAATATTCTAAAAAATTGTGTAAATGTTTATTGTAAACATTTGAACATTTACACAATTTTATCTTTGACATCTAAGCTTCTATGATATAAGTATTTTAAAAAATTGTTGAAATGTTCAAAAATTGTAAAAATTGTATAAAATTGTAAAGAACGGTTTCAAAATATTACATTTTTGAATGAATTTAAAAGAACCAATTGTTTTTTATATATTATTTCTTTGAGCAAGAATCTAAAAGATTCAGCTAACTAATTAATTTTTTTACCAGATTTTCAATATGAAATAAATTTAAATTACATATTTATTACATTATAATCTTTAAAATGGTTTGTTTGATTTAATGTAAAATTGATTTTAGTTTTAGTTTTAGTTTTTTTTAGTTTTGTTTTTTTTTTTTTTTGGTGAAAAATTTGCTATATTCATATAAACTCCTTTTATTTTAAAATGTACAATATAATTACCTATTAGTGCTTTTAAATCATTTTTTTACAATTTTATATCTATATATACACATTTATTTGTTTTTTCTTGTAAAATATAATTAAAGAAGAAAATCAATGAATCAACAAACCATGCATCATGTTTTTTGGGTAACACAAATAATTTTTGCATGCAAAGAATTACTTTTTTCCAAATGTTAAAACACCCATTCTAAAATCATATAAATGCTACACATGAAAAATGTTGACCTTGTCAATTTTTAAGACTCCCATGAGTACAAAACCAATCATGGTTTCTACAGCTACCAATTTCTATAGATACCCTTTGACAAGAAATGAATAATTGTTGATGGAATAATAATTGAGCTTCAAATCGCGTGTAGATGAAGCCGAATTTCCCGTTATCATTCATCCGCATCACCATCACTGTGATGATGAAATCACTTTCCTAGTCAGCTATCCTAGTCATCACGGGGTCCAGTGCCCCGTCATCGACGAGTCCAGCGTGGCGACGCACCTATTACCGAGTCCGAACACCATCGCGCTGACCTCCTTCTTCACCGACCCCGCCGCACTTCTTTTTTTTGTCAATCTCGGCTTTCGTCAACTGAGCGCCGTGTTCTTCGTTGGCTCCACCATTGCGCAATCGTGTATCGGGAGCCTCTCGGAAAGGCTTACATTACTTTGCTTGAAGTCTCACCATGAATTTACACCACCAGAAACGATGCTGAGATCAGGATGTTTTGCAAATTCGGATCCCAGAGGCGTGATTGAGATTGGACGAGAAGACTCTAGGTGAAAGTTTTGAATCTGAAACTTGCGTTCTTGATTTGGAATCTGACGTGAGGATGATTTTGGAGTAGGGTATTAGGCGGTGAAACGTGGACGGGGGTTTTTTGAGATGGGAAGGGAATCTGGCTTCGGTTCGTGGATCGTAGGCATGAAGACGAGCCAATTGGAGCACCGGTATGAGGCTTGCGGACTGAAGTCCCAGGTCGTGGAAGTAGACACTGGCACCACCTTGATTCGCTGCTGGGTGCCGTGGGAGCAGCCCGAGAGTGGGTTGTGGTCCGCGGGCGCCTCAGAGAAGCCCGCGGTGTTGTTTCTTCATGACTTTTTGATGGATGGGACTTTTGGCTGGGAGAAGCAGATCGAAATGTTTACGAAGGAGTTCAATGTTTATGTTCCCAATTTGGTGTTCTTCGGTGGCTCGTCGTCGACTTCGACGGAGAAGACGGAGGCATTTCAAGCGGATTGCATGGTCAAGATGCTCCACGCTCTGGAGGTTTACAATGAGGTGAGTGAGTGTCCATGAGATGTTTACAGCTAGAGAGGCTGCCCAATTCTTCCAGTGTTTCTTATCTGGAAGGCCGTCTATTTCGTGTTTTTCCCCTAAGAATTAGAGATACATAATTTATGTCGCACGAGAGATAGGATTTCAGTTATGTGATTATATGTAGTTGTGAGATAGCCATTCAAGCACTAGGCACACAACAATGAATCATTTTGAGCACTAGGCCTGTGATACAGTATCTTTATTGTCAATTTATAATGAGTATAACGAGCTGTTCATGGAAGTTTAGCCGTGGATATGGGATGAGGACGAAAAAAATTGAGGCAAGAAATTCTTCAAAGCCATGGGGTCGGGTTGATGCACATTTATGAGCACCCTGAAGTATTAGAAGATAAGTTTGGAGTTCATGCGAGTGAAGGACTCGCTCTAGCTTTGTTATTTACATCAATGACTATTTATTACAGGTCATGGTGGTGGGCGCTGGATATGGCGGCCTGGTTGCGTTCTGGATGGCTCATCTATATCCAAAGTTTGTAACGAAAGTTGTCTTCGTTGCTTCGGGGATCCACATGACGCCAACTTCCCAGAAAATGTTACTCGCAAAGTTTGATTACGACCATATTTCTGAGCTGCTGCTGCCTACGACAGCAACGGGGTTGAAGAACTTGGCATCCGTAGCTACCACCAAGCCAGTCTATAGGCTTCCGACGTGCGTCTGCAAGGGCATATTACATGTAATCAATCATCTCTCCAAATCACAAGCGATTTAGACCTTTTGTTTTTATGATAATGCTTAGATTTTTATAAAGTTTCGTCATTTTAAGGAGTAGGAAGAGTTTGAGCAGGTTAGTGATGGTGACGTGTATTGATTCACAGGTTTTCATCGACAAACATCGTCACGAAAAGGTTGAATTGCTTAACAAAATGGACTGTGGTGTACGAGGAGGACCTCCTCTTCCACACTTGCCGCAGGTATTGCATACTTCTCCCTATTCTTCTAAACAAGTGATGAATTAGAAATTGCATAGTGCTAATCACCTTTTTCTTGTCGCTGTCGAGATGTTTCAATTAACATCAGTTTGTTGCATCTTCAGGAGAAGTGTTTGATAATCTGGGGCGAGAACGACCTAGTTACGAGCGTAGAGTTGGCCTTCAAACTGAAACTGTAAGCGACCTTTCATTGCAGTGGATTGATGGATTGTGTAACATGTTTCCATAGATATTTACAATACCATCTTAAGCCATAAAACGAATCTACTATTCTTGGACATGATGTTGAACTGCACCTAGAAATCCTTTTAGCGTGGGTTCATCAACAGTGCGGATTCGAATGATACGTATTTTGCTTGGTTTGGTTGAGTCCAAAAGTACAGGTGACAGCTTTAGACTATCTGGGATAATGATGTCGATCGCTGTTGAATGTGAACAGGCACTTGGGCAGTTCAACAGACCTAGTGGTGTTGGAAAAGTGTGGTCACTTCCCCCAGGTTGAGAATCCTAATTCTTTCAATCGTATCTCGCTAAACTTCCTGAAGAGCACAAATTAGTAACTACGTGAGACGTTGGTAAGCCCATTAACATAAGACAAATCTGGCTTTCTATGAAGACTTCGTCAACTGATAACGATGTGGGAAGGTATTTGCTGAGGAGGAGGAGCTATTGTTCGATCCCTTGGGGTATCACTTCCCCCATGTTCAGCATCAAGTCCTCGAAGATATCTCGATAACATTCGGATTTAGCTAGTGACCGCACAGTCATCCAGCCATTTTGACGAATAACGGGTGTGTGGAATCCATGTGCAGCCCCAATCTCTGGCAATGAAAGCCCTCGAATCAGTGACTCAGACTTGTAGCAGCTTCAGAAATCAGCTCTGGGAAGCTCCAACAATACATTGCGGTAGCACCTGCAACAGAGGTATTTTGGCATGAGAAATGTGTCTCACTCGACCGGTTGCATCCAATACTGACTGGCTGACATTCTTGAGGGGATTAGCACCGAGGAACTGAAGTGGACTCCGATCGAGGAAGAGTGGGTCAGTCAAGTTGCGTCTGAGAAACACAAACAGGTCGGAAGGGACCGAGAAACAGAATAAAACAGAACGACACTGACAGAGGACCAAGCAAGTTCCAGTTAAACAACGTCTTCCAGATTCCGAATATGTAGATTGTGAATATAATTACACGAATTGAGTATATAATCGACCAGAACTATATTAGCCAACTCTTCCAGCAGCGAGAAGTAGCGGGGTCTTGATTCCACACAGTTATCAACAAGGTCTTCTCACGACGCACAATTCATTGAACTTAGTCCGACAGCTAGTCGTGCACAATTGTAATCATCGGAAGTCAGTAAAAACACGAAGAATTCAATGCACGCCCGAATTGTCGCACAGTGCATCAACTGAGTATTGTGCAAAGCCTCGGAAGGATTCATCCTGCCATAATGACCTCAACTAGAATCTCGCCAGTCACCTGGAAAGCCGTTGCGAAAGTGGATAACCCACGCCAGTTGACTCATGATTTTTCTCGCATCATGACGGAGCCGGAATCATCAGCCCTAACAGACCCCATGTAACATCCGGCACTGATTGTGTCTCGTCATTAGCTTCACAATTTCCTTGTCCTGTCCCAGTGGCTTCACCGTAAAAGCCCTAAAAGGAAAATCCCCGAATTCCAACCAACCACATTCTCAGACGAATGTGGCAAAAGATAAGGTGGAGGTCGAGCGGGCCCTTGTTGACCACATGCTTTCATTCTCGATCGAGATACATTGTGCTCTCGAAAGGCATCCCTGGATCGTTCGTTACATTCTCGGCATGGGCCACCACAAAAAAACAAAAGTGGCAAGCAGCAAGAGTAATTTCAGAAACCCTAACTTATAAGATAGTTCCCTAGAGCCTCCGATGGGTTCGCATCGACGCTCTCTCAATCGCGGTTGCAGCTGCAGGTCACAAATTGGCTTTGCAACACAACCATTCATACATCTGTGTGAGTTTGAGAAGCACTCTTAGGACCCCATGGAAGCCCTAATTATCGCCTGGATTTATTTATTTATTATTTTTTAATGTGCTTTCATTGAAACTGCACTAAGTGAGTTGTGCACCGAAAAAGGTAAAGTAAAAGGTAAAATAAAAATATGAAATATAAAAAAACTCCTCTAGTAATTTTTATTAACATTCTATTGAATTTTCTGGAGGAGTTTTTATCATTCTATTTTTAGAATCGATCCTTTTTAAAATAAAATAAAAAAACAACACAATTAAAAATTAAATGTTATTCAAACCATGCTTGAGAGTAAAAAAGAATCACTCGTTAATCTCTTTTATTTTATACTTACATAATGTACTATTTATGTATCCAAATGACTTGTCATAAATTATGGTTAATGAGTTGAAATACTCTGCAAGTCAAAATACATACTATAATTTTTTAACATATTATCACAAATGATGTTCATGAAATAAGATTGATATTATTAAACCATTTTATTTGGTTCTGGAATCTCATTTATTCATCATTTCAAAAACTTTGTAATAATATCAAAATTCCTTTAATATGATATCATTTAAAATTTTCTTTGAAAAGTGTTTAAAAAAAATACATTAATTAAATAAATTATTCTTAAATCTTCTTTGTTGTTTGAAAATAAGAAACCAATAAATCATATTACCATAAATCATTTACATCACTCTCCTTAACTATGTCCAAATCTTTCATACAAATATATAAATACTCATAAGTTGCAATTAACATATATGCAAAGTTTTTATCTTGATTGTCTTTATTTTTTATCAAGTAATAGTAGATGATTGATATATATATAGAAAAATAATTAAAATAATAAGCAATAAAATCATGACTAAGTATTGAGTTTTTGTTGTTGCTATAATTACATATACATGTGTTTCTTCATTTTGTTTCAATTTAAAATAACTTTCTATTTGAAGTTTGTTTATATTTATATTTTTGTTTTATTACCTCTGGATATTATTAACTGATTACTAAGAAATGAGATAGGTGAAGATTTTAATAATAAACAATGCTAATTTAAGAAGTAAAATTATAAAATATCCACTAATAAAATAAAATGCAAGGTAAACAAAATATATAATATTCTTCTTAAATTTTGATAAATACAAGATATAAATATTTAATTCCTATAGATATGTGTTTTTTATATTTAATTTGTGGTTCTTAAATTTTACAAGAGATAGGAACAAATTATGTAACAATATATAAAAAAATCAACATTTTTCTGACATGCTCATACAAAATATAAAATAAAAATACATCATAATTTTGTATAACTCAAAGAGTCTTTATTACTTACTATGTCAAATCTATTGTTGATATGTAATTTTTTGTGAAATTTTTTATACAAAGTATTCGTTGGAAATCTAAGCTCAAAGTGACATAAATTATACTTTTTTTTTTTTTTTTTTTTTTTTTTAACCTTAAACTTTACCAAGATACTGTATGTTTTGAGCATCACTATAAAATTTCACCCACCCATTTCAAAATAGACACACTAAAGACGCAATGCAATGATGCACCATGTGATGGTTGGTTCTTTGTGGTAAATTGTTATTGCTATCAAGAATATTCAATTAAGAGAGATTGGAAGATACAAAAAAAAACTTGGAGACCACCAACAACAAAATTCATGTTCCAAATCAAATCAGTAGTCTCCAAATTAGCACTAGAAGGCTAGAATGAGACACTCGGTGAGACAGGCGGTGATGTGCCCTCGCAAAAGCTACAAACACGGCCCTCAACGTGATATCTTTGTAGGGGCAAGGACGTCGTTGTTGTTGTTTTTGCTGCCTGCACACACAGTTGCAATGCATTTTGGAGCATCCGATGTGTGAGGAGAGGATGGTGCGAGCATCCACCAGGAATCGAGTGGCTTCCCCCAACTGCATCTGAGGGCACCGCTATCCCCTGGCATTGCCCACCTCACCCCCCCTTTCCAAACGGATTCCAGCTCTCGATGAGCCGGCGGATGTGCCCTCCGCGTTTGTGCCAGGAATTGATTCGATCAGATCATGTTTTGTAGTGTTGGTGCATCCGCACTTTCAGGCGAAAAAGGTATCGCGCAACGTATCACAGAATCTTCCGGCCACAAACCTTCAATCGAGATCGAGTTTTGTGGGGCCATTGCAACTGGCTTGTTTCATTCTTAAACCATCGCGCACTACCGAGACCACGAGCTCGGCGACAACGCGCTCGTGGGAGACATCGCGACAGCACTCGCACCGCTATTTCTGTGAGGAATCTATAAAACACCCTTCCCTATAACATGTGTTTGGTATATCATTCAAACCCCGGAGAAGTTGGTTCCCATGATCCGTTGCTTCCATTGTCAGTCTCATTGGTCAAAGGCTGGTCAACTCTTCAATTTGGTTCGCCCAAAACCAACTTGCACCCAGGTGCAAATCACATTTGTAATCCTAATAAATAATTCCATGGAAACCAAGTAGCAGGTGTTGCAGAAGCAAACCCTAAGTTGGTTGGAGAGGTTGCTGTTTCAGCAGTGCGATCTGATCACCTAGCGCACCACGCTAAGGCCATTCGGGGTTCAGTAGGATGGAACAAAAGGGGACAGAAAGGATTAAAAGGGCAAAAGGGATCCATGAGAATGAATCAAGCCTCACCGCAATCTTTGAAAAGGGGCCTCAAAACTGAGAGCTAGAACAGGAGGCGGCTGTCAACATCAGGTGGATGAAAGTCATCTACGGAGACAGACATCCACTTCCTTCACAACAACAGATCCAACAGTATCAAATCTTTTCTCGTTCTCCCCCTCCCCTAGATGGATGACTCTATCTACTTGGATGACACTGTGTTCATCCACCCTCCTGCGGACAGTGTCCCGAGTGGCGACCTCGGAGATCAGTCCACGACGCCATGGCGGCAGCGTAATTTGCTGCACCTCATTTGGCGATGACGAATGCGAACAGACGACTTACCGAGAGCAGGGAAGCATGAAAGCGGGAGTACGGGAACCAAAATATTGCGTTGCTCACGAGGCTCCTTCCTTTCGGTGCAATTGCCTCGTCACGAGACAATAATCTGCTCGTTCCTGGCTTGTGCGTGCCTTGCTTATTTTTTTCTTTTTTTCTTTTCTGTATGAGCATGCTCGTAGCTCCAGTCGAGATCTTCTGTGGGCTTTAGCAGTAGCATGGAAGCGGGCGCGAATACGCGGCGGAGCTAGGCGTAGTCCCCGCGAATGGAGTCTCGCTAGCGGTTTCGGCTTTTTTCAGTCTGGGTTGGGAGGAGTGTGGAGTGTGGCATTCCTCGAGAGGGAAGGTTTCGGTGGTGACGAGGGGCTAGGGTTTTCTTCTAGTGTTGCGTTGTTTCTGTGTCAGTGCTTGAATTTGGTGCTGTGGATGAGAAAGCTGTTCTAGAGATTCTGTTCGGCGGGGGTCTGAGAGGGTAGCTGTGATGAGAAAAGAAGCAGGATCAATGCGACGTGAATGCAGTGACACGGTGGTGTGTATGTGCGGTGGCAGCGGCGAGAGTCTTAGCATGAGGCTACAATGCAGTGGTGTGGAGTGGGGAGGGAGTCTGTGAAGCGGTTAGTATTTTTCTCGGAGGTACTGAGATGGTTCCTCTGATGTACTCTTTTGATTGAAGTGCTGGGATTAGTGAAGCAGATGATTGGGAATAATGTTTCTCAATTCGGCTGCTGTTTGTTGAGAATAAGCGAGTTCTGGAACTTGGAGAGAGTGTGTGGAGAGATGTTTGCATTGGGAAATACTTTCCCCAAGAGAACGTTAATGTCGGCAACTGAGTATTTCTCTTACACCCTTCTGAGATCTGGATTCATAGTCCGGAAGAACATCTTAGCATAACATGAAGTTTATCGAATCTTTCGGTTTTTCCTGAGGGACATTATGTTTGGCTTACTGCTTCGGTTGGATAATAATCTTACACTTAGCATTGTCAACTGGATACTGTAACAGCTTGATTCACTGTGTGCCTCATCTGAGAAGCAGTGTCAGACATGACCTATTCCGAGCCACATGGTGCAACATGAAGCCCTCAATTTTGGATTTCAGAAGCTTTTCCATCAGCACATGTGAAGTCGATTGATAGCCAATGTTGGCAGAGGGATAAATAGTCAACAAGTGGAGTGAGGAGGCGAGTGAAGGGGATAGTTGTGGTCTGAATCGCCGAGTTTAGAGCTATTGACGCGAGGTCTGAGCCTCTCGAATTATAACTTTTCTGCTAAACCGCTACGTTGGTGGGAAATTGCGAATAAGGATACGTCATCTTACTTGGCATTGATGTTTACGAGAGTTTTTCTTTAAATTGCTCCAAGAAGGATCATAACAGCGAAGGACGACTCAAACTTGGGATGCACTAAGTGGGAAGTAAGAAATGGGAACTGCGAGCCCTGAATCGACACCGTCGCAGAAAATTGGGGAGGCACACGTCGATTACTTACACGCGCAATGGGACCTGAAGTTGTGAGCTCTTTGATAAAAATCAACCCTAAGGTTTGAAAGACATTGATTGAGTTGACAATCAGGAGGTTATCAGTCTGGCCTTATGGGACCATTTAGCAGAGCAACTGTCGGGCTCATTGCAAGTAAGGATTCAGCAAATAAGAAGAAGAAGAAGCAGACTGCGGATGATGCGGGGGGTAGTATCAAGGGTGGAAGACGGACAGCTGGCAGCTTGCCTAGCTGGGTTACGGATGGTGCTATCGAAGAGACACCGGTTAACGAAGGAAAAGAAAAATCTGGGAAGGAAGGAAAGGAAAAGTCTAGCAAAGAAGGGAAGGAGAAAGATAAATGGAAAGAAAGGATTAAAGAAAGCAAGGAGAAAAGCAAGAAAGGTTCAACCTCTGGGAAGGGTAAGATTGATGAAGATGTGGAAATGACAATTTCTGCTCCCATTCTAGACGAGGATTTCCGTCTTGCGACATCTCTTCTGGGCCTCCACCGCATTAAGACGCGCTCGGGCCCTCTTCTTTTTCCCCCTAGCACCCGCTCTGGTCCCGTGTATGCAGGAACTTTTCAAAGTCGATTTGATACGGGCAATGAGGGTCGACAGGATCAGGAGAAAGCTGTGAACAGTTGGTCCAAAGGAGAGTCATCAAGCAGACTGCTGGCTGGAGTGGGCAAAGCCTCCAAGGTGCATGCACGCGATTCAGTCTCTCCCGAAGACTTCACTACTGCCGATGATGGCAGTAAGAGCAATAGAGGAAGAATGTTGATGTATACTGATATTTCAGAGATGGGAGCAAGTCCTCAATCAGATGGTAGTCCCGGGTCTTCGAACGTGAAGAAATTACATCGGAGTTTGAGAATCGGCGATGCTGGCGGGCGTATAAATGGGTCGAGTCTTAGGTTTGAAGGTCACGATGATAGTAATGTTCCGCAGAGAGTAAACCCGTTTGAGAGCAATTGGGCTGATGGTCACTCGAACTCCTCAGCAGGGCTATCTTCCCGTGAAGGAGGAACCTCGGGTTGTTTATACGAATCGCATTCGTTTTTACGAGGTAAGGTTGTGGGCGTTTTCTTGTTGAAGATGAATGTTGGAGAAAAGATCACAACCTTTTAGTATGTTACGTAATTGCATGTTTTCGAGGTAAGAAATTCACCTCCAGGAAGTACGAAATTAACTTAGGAGGGAGTGAAGAGGAGCTATAACGTGGAAGAAGAATTAGAGGTATAGGTAGCATTGTCATCTTAATCCACTCAACTGTTGCTTTAGAAAGTAATGTTTGATAGAGAACGGCATTGAGGCCTTCAGCACTTTATCTTTGTTGTGGATGATTTATTTTTATCATCTTTCAGTGTGTTCATACGTTTGTATGAGGCCATACCATCAGTTCAGCATGTGCGTTACTCTGAAGTAAACATCATGTTTCTTTACGAATACGACGCTGTTCTAAAATTTAGTACCTAAATGATTTGAGTATAACTTGAATTTGTAGTTGTTCACCTAGTGTTCTGGGATTTTCGCAGATAGCAAGAGTATCTCAGACCAATCTGCAGAGAATGATGCTGAAGCTGAGGTATAGTCGATTTTCATTGCTTTTTGATTAGCATCAACTTTACGCCTGGATTATTTTTGGTTGTGGATTTTGCAGCCGAAGATTTGAATTTTGCCTGTGAGGAGCTTTATTAGAAAACATACTACAGAATTGCAAATGATTTTGATGTTTGAATTCTTTTAGATATTGTTCCTAGTGATGAAATTATGTATTACTTACTGCAAGGTCTATGGTGTCTATAATCTGCAGAGCCCAACTGAGTCGCCTCGATTTAAGGCACTTCTGAGGATGACCAAAACTAATGGCAAGCGACATACTGATATCAAAAGCTTCTCTCATGAGTTGGACCCACGTGGACTACGTTCGCATGAATTTTTACGGCCTCACAATTTTGGCGGGTTCAATGGTTTAGAGGTATTCTCTATTCTGCACTCATGTGTCACAGCGGGATCCCCCTCTTCCTTCTTTCCTCCTTACATATCTGTGTTTGTTATAATTGTTGTTTTCATTAAATTAAGAAAACAGAGTTTATGAAAATGCTCATCTGAATTCTTAAGTAGTCTGAGTTTGTTTTGATATTCTAATAGATGATATATGAATCATTGTTATTTAAGAAGCAACAAATGCATGAATCTTCTTCCTTATTAATCAGCCTTGTTTACAGGAGTTTGTGCGAACTTTGAAAGCAAGGTTTAATACGGCAAAGGAAGAGGTTAATGCTGAGCTTGCGGTCTTTGCTGGTGACCTTATTGAGTTCCTCGAGAAGAATGCTGATGCTGCTCCAGATTGGCGAGTAAGGGCAGAGGATCTTTTGATTTTAGCAAAACAATGTGCGACGATGGATTCCCAGGAATTTCGAAAGAACTGCGAGGCAATTGTACATGATTTAGATGAAAAGAGGCAAGAGCTCCCTATGGGAGCTCTTAAGCAGCTACATACTCGAATGCTTTTCATTCTCACTCGCTGCACGCGTTTATTGCAATACCAAAAACGTAATTTTCTAGAATCGGATCCACTTAGAATACAGAAGGTTGAGAAGTTTTGGCACCCAGTTGACAATCAGAAAGTACCTGCAAGTGAACCTGTGAAAAGGAAAGCTTGTTCACAAGAACTATACCGACGCAATGATGTATCCACTGGTAGGTGGACCAAAGACGAAAACATCAGTAAACTGACCCTTGAATCAATCAAGGAAGCAGAGTCGAAGATTGACTCGCTAAGTCTGAATTCCTCGGATTTCAAGGATGAAACCGCGGATCAACAGGATGCGATTGTTATTGAAAGGCCTACGTCTTGGAAGAAATTTGAGAAGGATAAGATTGGATCAGATAATCAATCAAGTCCCGAGAAAAGTACTCTTCAAGTTGCTCCGACAACAAAACGAAGAACACAGTCGACGCCAGTGAAGTGCCACTCGGGGGATGATACACCAATGGTAATATGTAGAATATGTGAGGAAGAGGTTCCGACGGTTCATTTGGAAGAACACTCTCGAGTGTGTGCTTTTGCTGATAGGTGCGATCAGAAAGGGATGGGTGTCGATGAGCGGTTGCGAAGATTAGCTGCAACTCTTGAACGCATTGTGGAATCATATACTCCAAAGAGCTCTGCTGTGGCTGCCAGTGCTAGTCCAGATACGGGCAAAACATTACCAAATTGTGGTGATAGCGGTATGATCCACCTTTTTCTTGTGCTTGTTTGCTTATCTTTAAACTAAAGTAACGGCTCGTCCATTTGTGCTTTGGTTCAAGCTAGTGCTCTTATGATTGACACGTCATCTATATCGTGTTATGTAAATGCTGTGATCGTCAAATTTTAGAGGCTTGTCGGGTTTCTTCATCAGCATCGTTTGCATTTAGTGAGTTGCTCAAAGCCCTGATTGAAATTCTCAATGCTGCAGAATGGATGTAATTTTCTGTACGAAATGCATCCTGTGCTTGCTAACGGCCTCTTACTCACTGGTTGTTCTGGTATTTCCGCAGAGAATTCCTTGGCGGATAAACTTGGGACTGCTGCAGAAAAATTTGGACAATATGAACGTGGAGGTGGTGACTTGCTCCGCAGGGGATCTGAGGACATGCTTGAGGACCTACATGAAATCGATACTGCGAGTATTTTGGATGAGCCCAGAGTTTTTAATACGATAGCCTGTAAGTCTCGGTTTGGGCCCAAGAATGATACAATTGGAGCTGTTCCTTCTTCGGTGGGCAGCTTGCTTGCCCCTTCATCATCAGTGGGTAGCTTAACACCGCGATCTCCTCTCACCACGCCCAAGAACAACCATATTGATCTCCTGTTGGCTGATAAAAATTATTTTGCTGAATCAGAAGACCTCCAACAGGTTATTGTCTTCTTTGCCGTGTTTACTGGAGCTTGCTATTTCGTTTATTTTGTTATATGTTTCAAGTTGCTTCATGGACATTCTTTGAATGTTTAACTACAGATGGATTTTGTGATGGTAGTAATATTGGTCGTATGAAAAAGGTCTTGCTCTAAGAACTGCTCAATTCGGCTACAACATGCATGGAGACAACTGTTTATAGACTTGCTGTGGGTTGCAGATCAATGAGTTGGTTGATATTGCTCTATGCATTGCCGACACCAACCAAAATCACCCCAAGGCTGCAGAGTTCATTATCTCATGTATGGAGGATTTGAATGACGTATTGGAGCAGAATACGGTTGATGCTCTTACTGTTGACACATTTGGTAGACGGATTGACAAGCTTTGCAGGTTTGTCCTATCTACTTGAATTTTAACATGAGAGGCTTGATATTACATTATTACCATTAGTAATAATGAATCATGGTGGATTTAGACGTTAAGATCGTGAATGAAAACAAGAGGAAAACTAGTTTCGGCTTGTGAAACTGAGCAAATCTTTCAAACTTTGAAGTTTCTGCTGTTATAAACTAGAGGCAAAAGATTCCAATTATCACTGTCTGTTTTTGTTGCAGAGAAAAGTATCAGCAAATTCTAGAGGCTTCTGGGTTATACGTTTCTGAGAATTTAGTGCATTCAGCAGAAGGTAGTCTTTCACTAGATGAAGAGGGTTCGCACAGTTCGAAGTGTACGCCCGTCCACCCAACCCACAAGGATCGAACAACTATAGATGATTTTGAGATTATCAAGCCTATCAGTAGAGGCGCATTTGGGCGGGTATTTCTGGCCAGGAAACGGATCACGGGTGATCTTTTCGCGATCAAGGTGATTTCTTTTCATTTCATTTCTGAATGGTGTCCTTTCTTTTTAGTTTGCTTTTTAATTTTAATTTTAAAATTTTAATTTAATTTTTTTAATTCAAGGAGAGATTGCTCTGTAGTCAGATTTGAAGCTGGTACATTGCTTTCTTTTGAAGGTCTCCAGATCGTGGCTGTGATTGTACTTCTCGCAGTGTTGCATATCTTTTGGAACCAGTGTGTTTGTTCAGCAGTCTTTCCCCTCTGTTTCATATGCCCATTTAGTATGATCGACTAATGCCTAATCTGTTGACTTTGGCATCATTAACTGGTTTTCCTTGCTTATCAGGTCCTTCGAAAAGCAGATATGATTCGAAAGAACGCAGTGGAGAGCGTTAAGGCAGAACGGAATATTCTGATTTCTGTCCGAAACCCTTTTGTGGTATAGCGAACATTTTATTTTCTCTTGTGAATTTGATGATAATGATCATTTTTCTGTTCTCTGCGCTTGAAATGCTACGCTTTCATCATATGGGCATCTTTAAACAATTTTTCTCTTAAACAATATCCGCTGTTTTACAGGTGCGATTCTTTTACTCGTTCACTTGCTCTGTAAACCTGTATCTAGTCATGGAGTACCTGAACGGGGGGGATCTGTTCTCTTTGCTGAGGAATCTGGGCTGTCTAGAAGAAGAAATGGCCCGTGTTTATATTGCAGAAATCGTAAGTTGATACTCAACTTTTTAAATTTATATTTGAGGCGGATATAGTCAGCAGCTGGCTTTATCTGACCGATAACAACTAATCCGCTAATGATGACCAAGTTGTTTTCACAAGTTATCCTTTGGGTAATAAGAAACGTTGTTGCTAATAATCTGTGGGAAGCCACAAGCTACCAGTATAAACAAGTTCGAATACGTACAGGTGCTGGCGCTGGAGTATCTTCACGGCTCGGGTATAGTGCATCGTGATTTAAAACCTGACAATCTTCTCATCGCACATGATGGGCATATTAAGGTACTTTTAGTGTAGAAAATGTTCTGTTGTATTCCTCTTTGTGTAAATATGTTTTGCATATATTTAGTGTTCTTCTTGTGACTGCTAGTATTTATTTCCTTCATTATCGTCTCATTAAACAAGGAGTAGGAGGGATTATTGACGGATGGGGTTCTGTATGACAGCTTACAGATTTTGGTTTATCAAAAGTCGGTCTTATCAACAGTACCGATGACCTCTCAGGTCCTGCAGTAGGTGGAGCCACGTTAATGGAAGAAATAACCAAGCATCATAAAGTACCAAGTGGAGAGTTGCCGCAGCAAAGGGAGAGGCGTCAACAACGTTCTGCAGTTGGCACACCTGACTATTTAGCCCCAGAGATTCTTCTTGGAAACTCTCATGGTAATTTTCGAGTAGATTTTAGAATCAAAGATCGAAATTGGTAGCGATGAGGGTATTGTGAGTTGAGGTTGTTCCTACTCGCATCCACTTGCATAAGGTCCGCCTTGTCACCTTTTACATCCTAATCGTATCACAATTAATTGGTTTGTCATAATTTCTGGAAAATTTAATTTATTTGGGCATTGGTACTATAAATAGTTTGATATATCCATGCGTGATTTTATATGCAGGACCTGCTGCTGATTGGTGGTCCACTGGCGTTATTTTGTTTGAAATGCTCACTGGAGTGCCGCCTTTTAATGCGGAGCATCCTCAGGTAGTATTCCGTATTTACTGACGTTTCTCATCGTTTCTAATGGCATGCAAGTTGTTGGATTAGTATTCATCAGCATCAGTTTTATATTTTTGTAGGTATTTTCTCTTTAAAATGTGTCTACTTGAATATTCTGCATCTACTTATTTATATTCCTCTTATTCCTTATGTCGCAAGTTTTTATACTGTCTGTTTATCAAATGTTGTGTTGGAGTTACGGAATTGCTAATATCACTTGGGTTGGCTTTGTAATTGAATCCAAACAAATTCGTAGTCTAGATACATTACCCAGATTCTTTGTCGATATCAAACCTTTAAATTTTAGTAATGCGCTGACTAGTTTTTATTCATATTGTTCAGATTATTTTTGACAACATATTGAATCGCAACATACCATGGCCTTATGTTCCTGAAGAAATGTCTTACGAGGCTCAGGATTTGATTGATAGGTATTTATTTATATATTTATTGCCTTGATGCTTTTTTTGGTGGCATTCAATTTTAAATCTACAGAAAGACCACGATGTAAAGTTCTTAGATGCAGTACTGCAAAAGTTTTAGCATACCAAGAAGTTCACAACGTGAGATAGAGGTTTTCTGTTTAGACCTTTTCAGCATTATTTTTCTGTTTCGTGTAACTACACGGAAATTCATGAATGTTCTTCAGCAGTTATACATTTCTACTTATGATGCTATCGCTTAAGACCTTTTTGGGATAAGAAGTCAATTTCTAGCATCTCAGTTATTGTCTGGTGCTGGTGGACATTATTTGTGATTTAGGCTGTTGACAGAGGATCCTGACTATCGGCTTGGAGCTAAGGGTGCTGCCGAGGTGAGCCATTGTTGTTGCTGCTTTTTTTGTTTACTTGGGCTTTTTTACACTGAAAGATATTAAACTGCTGTCTTCATTAAAGGAACTTGAGCTTCTATTATTGCGTTCAGTTATCTGTTTATCATCTCGGTAATTTGTATTTTTTAAAATGTGAGACGCTGTAATAAGGGGATGAGTTCTAATCCTTTATTAAAAATGCAGGTTAAAGCCCACCCTTTCTTTAAAGATATAAATTGGGATACTTTGGCAATGCAAAAGGTAAACAGGCTCTATTTCAGCATCGCCTCTGCTAAAAATTCGCACTTTATTATCGACCTTGTGGTAACGTTGCAATGTTTCGATCATTTTAACCTCTTCTGTTCCCTGTGACAGGCTGCCTTCGTCCCAAGCGTGGACAATATTCATGACACGAGTTACTTCACATCCCGTCAGTGTTGGAATTCAGATGAAACACGCTTATTTGCTGACCATAACTATGAAAGTAGTAACTGCGAAACTAGTGATAGCGGAGGGAGTACGAGTTCCTCAGAAATGAGGCCGGAAGACTCGGTAAGCAACGAATGAGAAGTTCACTCCTCTACGAACTTTTCAGGTCTTCGCATATAGTATGTTTTGAATTATTATCTGGGCGTCTAGATTATGGTGAATACAATTGGCTTCGTCAATATTTATATTTTTGGCACAGTTACAGACCCTTGAACATGAGCGAAATAATTTCTAAAACTGTGCTCTTTCTTCGATATGAATTTCAGGAAGTCATTGATGTTGCATGTCCCCTGAGACGAAAAGAGGGTCGTGACTTGTCTGAAGTTACGCCTTCATCGAGATTTTCCTTCAGCAACTTCTCGTTTAAGGTTTGCACTAGTTTGACCTTCCAAACTTGCGGATTTCTCGTATTTCTAATCCTGCAAGCAATGTGCTATATGGGCTTCTTTTGAATAATCTGTTCTATGTTCATGTTACAGAATCTATCGCAATTAGCATCTATCAACTACGATCTGCTGCAAACTGCCGTCAAAGATGTAACTTCTCCCCAGGGTCGACAGAGTTAGCATCTCGACTTCTAACTGGAATCACAATTATATGATTCCTACAATGATGTGGAACCAACAAGTGGCATCCAGTTTACGCATAGTCCTTGAAGTTGTGGGCACTATGCATGTACTATATGTATCATTTTATCAAATCATCCAAGTTAAACCTCTTCAGTCATACATGGGATCATCTTTTGAATCTAGTTTGTTGGGATATTGGTGCTTTGAATCGATTGCTGCATAAATGTTCAGTTTGTAGGAATTTAAACTGATGTGGCTATAGCTTTCAAAGCTGTCAGCATAGTTTGTTCTCGCAACAAAGCTGTCTACACCATGCAACTTCAATGTCCAGCCAATTTAGAATTCGACTGATCATGACTGCCGACGGCTCTCTTCCTGGTAACGTACTAATGCAATTCTTACTGAACCAGACTTGCGTCTGTTTATCCCTAATTTGTTTCTGTTAATTGAAGCCCATTTTTTTTTTTTTAATTCGGTATAGATTTTGAAAGGATTAGATTCCTAGAAATATAAATGAAGCAATAGTATAATTACAGAATATGCCATCTATACAGTCTACTTGAATATGGATGAGAACGCGGCCACGCCTGTGGTTCTGCGTCCTTCCTGTGTCTTGCAGGTTATCATCGCTTATTCATTAGGAACTTTAAGTGACCTATTGTGTCTTGCTGCAAATGTGCAGTCAGCGAGAATACTCTTGTGGGTGCTTCTACACAATAGGTCACTGAAGTGATTCGTTGGAATCCACTCAGAGTTAATTAACTTAACTGTAAGTGGATCTTTTGTATGTGCCTCTGTAAGTAACCGTTTATTTAGGCTTTGTTCCATTACAAATTGTGCTAAGCTATAAAAATTCTTTCTAGACACCTACATGTCTTTGTTATTCATTTGGTGCATTCATCACAGTACTTTTTTGGGCTTATGCGAAGTACAAAATGCGACCACATCATTTTTACTGTTAGTGAGGCTTAAGAATGGAAGGGATCAAGTAATTTATGGATAATTTGCAATTAGGTGAGTACCATGGTTTTTATTGAGCTGTGTGTGACAATTTCCGTTGGTGGTTGATATTGTTTTGTTATACTACAGTTACTGCTTGACTGTGGTGGTCAGCAGTCAACCCATAATTGTAGTAGCTGAGCATGTTAATGTGTTGACTAAGCAAGTCATCCTTACGGTTGCGTTAAAAAGCAACTTTAGGCTATGCGTGGATTCATTTCAAGATTTTAGTCTTGATGACTCTGTGATAATCAAAGGTAAGTTCATTTGTGTTTTGTAGCACTAGTTTATTATCCTACTACATTTATCTTTTCATGTTTACTTAAACAGAACTTTTAAACTTTACATTCTTAATAATTGAAAACAAATGTTTTGAACAACTTAAATAAGAGTTATTGAAAAAGTCGAAGGTTTGCCTACAGAAAAAAGTTACCATTGTTTATGAAGAATTCTGGAATATACATTTGAAGCAAATAATAATTTCAATGTGTGCATTTCAGGTTCGATGTTAGGTGTAATGGACAATTTTTACGTCAGCTCTAAAATTTCATACTACATCTAAGTCCAATTTTCAACGATACCAGTAGGGTTAACAATAACCATAGCCCAACGTGTGTACTTATAACAAATTTAATTAACTACTGTATTGAATCAACAGAATGCGATTACTTCCAATTATCAATACCAGTAGCGAAGTTACAAATTGCTTGACTTTAAAAATGCTGAATAAACACCAAATGTCATGAACTAATTATATAGCTTAATATCATATAAAACATTCAAGCGGGAAAATCTTAAATCTCGCACTATTTAGTGCGACGTCGTCTCTGCCAAGAGTTCCTAAAGGAGAGAAGGACTAGAGCAACCACCCACAAAGAAAATGCAGCAGATCTGTGAAGAACTTCTAGGCTGTCTCTTTACCCGTTCTCCTCTCTCCTTATCACACATTGTTGATTATGGTAGTAAAGCTCACAACATCGGCTTGAAAGGAAGGTTGAAAACAGCACACGAGCAATCTTTGAGGTCAACATTGGGTCAAGTAAGCCTCGAGTAGGTCACTGAAAGTAGTTCATCTCTCAACACACCCAGGAAGTTCAAAACTGAACTGTAGCATCCAAGAAAACTAGATTCTACAACTAGACGGCTGAGAGAAAGACCACCTCCGACACGTGTTCAGTGTAGGTACTCTGAAAAAAACATTTCTGCAGTGTTTTACTCTTCACTTCTGACAGCCTCAATGCCTTCTCAGTGAAAGAATCGATGTAGTTGAAGAGAATCAGCTAACTTATGAAAAAGCCAGCGTCTGATGTGTGAAGAGAGAATGGGATATGAGATTCGTATCCCTGAGGTCAAATCAGAAACTCGTATACGAGAGGAAGTAATAGCGGGAAAATCTTAAACCCCGAATGGTCGTATATTAAATGCTAAAAACCATCAATATTTAGTCTAGAGACTACAAAAACCCCTTGCTATTAAGGCCTTGACGAAATCTTGATGAGGTGGGAGTTGGTTGCTTCCAAGGTTTCTCGAGTGCATTACTCGGGGCGTCCTGCCTCTCCGACCTAGAAACGTTTGGGTCCACTAGTGATTTCTGAAAACTGTGAGAGAACCCCGTGGCAATAATCGTTACATGGATTTCACCTGTATATTTGTCATCCACTACCGCTCCAAAAATGATATTAGCTGAGGGGTCAGCTAAACCTGTTACAATCTGCATCAACATCTAACTATGTCAAGGCATCCGTCATCCCAGAATTCCAGAGGATTAAATAAAGAAAATACTGATTACAAAACTGATTGATCAGTACCGTCATGATGATGTTATCAATTGTTTTTCAAATGCCACCTTACTCACATTAAACACATTTAAAATTCCACTTAAAGAATCACGAAAACATGTTAACTTCTATTGTTTTGAGCACTACAAGTGAAGAATCGAGCGCAAACCTCAGACACGGTGTTGACTTCCTGCAATGTGAGGTCCGGTCCACCAGTGATGTTGTATACAATGCCAGTTGCTTGTTCAATAGAGCGTTCAATAAGAGGGGCTGAAGCAGCTTGAACAGCGGCCTCCTCAGCACGATTCTTGCCACTAGAGGAGCCAACGCCAAGCATGGCTGTACCTGAGTTACTCATTACAGCTCTAACATCTGCAAAATCAACATTCACAAGACCTGGCGTCTGCATCCGCCATAGGCAAGTTTGTATCGTTAAGGTTAAATGAAGAAATTACCTGTACATACAATCATGTGTGAAGAGAAAGATGTAGTCTTATTTCACTAATTTACCAGTGACCTACAAACACTTCTGAATCTAATGCATTCAGTATGCAATTGCTTTCAAGCCTGGGCTTAACCAGTTAGCAAAAACAGTGGATTGCAATCTCTTTGAGACGACTACCGATCGGGACACTTACTGTGATGATGTCTGAAATGCCTTGAACTCCCTGCCTAAGAACATCGTCGGCTAGAGAAAATGCTTCCTGAAGAGGAGTTTTATCTCCGGAGACATCGAGTAGACGGTCATTAGGAATGACAATAAGACTGTCGACAGACTTCCGCAGATTCTCTATTGCCTCCACTGCCTGCATAACTACCAACAGCTCAGTTTTTACCCTGTTTACTTCTCACCGTGTAATGATAGAAAGTTGGTCAAATATGGGCGCTTCAACATCTTGCTAAACAGTACCTGCTGGCTTCTCCGACGGCCCTCAAACGTAAACGGATAAGTGACAACACCAACAGTGAGTTGCCCTGCCTCTTTGGCCACACGGGCAACGACCGGGGCAGCCCCAGACCCCGTTCCACCACCCATGCCCGCAGTAATGAAGACAAGATCAGCATCTACCACTGCCTGTGCAATGATTTCTATCGATTCCTCTGCTGCTTGTTCTCCAAGGAATGGCTTTCCACCAGTACCTGCAGAAATGGAACACGACTTCCAAAGGCCAAGGTTACATTTAAATAGAGATTGTTACAATAAAACGGCTGAAAGTCAAACCATGAACCCTGTCGAACAAGGATGTAGAAAATAACATAATTGTTAAAAAAAACAGGCTTCAAATTCGTTTACATGTATGAAAAATTAAAGAGTTTGGAGGGGTTAGCACTAAACTTACCAAGTCCTCGGGTCAAAGCTTCGCCGATTTGAACGCGATGTTCGGCTTGTGATTTCTGCAAAGCTTGAACATCTGTGTTGATGGCCCAAAAATCAACACCCTGCAGAACAGAGAAATCGTTTCCTAAGTTTACGTTTAAGTCAACCAATATCATTCAACAAGCAGGCATTATAAACATAAACCAAGTGTTCTACCCATCCATTCCGGAAATTGGTAGCATCCAATTGCTGACTTTGTCCCTGCTGCCTTAAACATACATGATAGAGCATATTATACTGGTCAATAAACTGAAAAGAAACATAATGACGTCGGTAAATGAAGATTAAGTTCCATCACTCTGAGAAACTGTGTGTTACGATGAGAATTATCGACACGGCTGGAGAAAACCAGAGAACGGTTCACATACTATAGGACATAGCTTGATTTTCAATGGCTTAAGATTTTCAGTTTCATGCCAGATTTTTTTTTTTTTTTTTTTTTTTTTTTCTTTTTTTCTGGCTGTTTACGTTTGTCTAACCGACTCTTCAACACGCCACTTCTGCAGGGGCAAATATCAGTGAAGATATTTTTGTAATAACTGCTTATGCACGTAGACAAATATCATCCTCTTTAATAGCGCCATCTACAAACCGTCTTGACATTCCCTATCAATCTTCCAAATTTATACGAAAAACAACGCTAATGTGAAGGTAGCACCGGACGTTCACTGAAGGTTTCTAACCATTACAACCTTATTTAATCCGAAATTGGCCCCTCCTATTCAAGCCTTGAGGTAGCTAGTACGATGTTCCAGGACCGCCATACCTTCTTGTTTTGGGAGTCATCATTGCTAGATTCCACTCTAGAACCCACAATCTTGAACTCTGTTTCTTGATGGGTTTCACTGATACAGTAACCTAAACTTCAACAATGGGATGTCTGGAAACTGCAAAATATTGCAAGAATGCCAAGAATGCCGAAGCATGGAAGGATGAAAGGGGATTCCTACAATATCAACAAACCTGAATGCCGCTCCCAATCATGCGGTTCACAGCATTGTTGCCCCCGCCGCCTACACCAATGACCTTGATCTTGGCGCCACTCATACTGGCCATCACCACAGACCTCCCTGCGTGACACCTCTCCCGCCCCTGACTCCATCCCCGCGTCTGTTGATGCATAAGTGGTTTCCCATCACCCACAAATTGGTCCTTATCCAGCTTATTCCCCGCTCTCAAGCACCCACATTGCCTCGTCACCTTTGCCGCGACAGAGCTCATGGGGTGCATCGACTGCGGCGATGTTGAGCACAACGACCCGGTGAAAGAGCACGGGCTCGAGCTAAACCTCACCATGGAGCTCATCATGCTCAAAAATACAAACGAGCTCTAAGTGCCAGCTCTCAGATAACGAAGTAACCCACGTGACATACCACGCGGAAACCTCACAATCTGCACAGAAAAGCCCTCCGAATTACGACGCCTTCAAGAATTACAAAAAACCTCTCGAGCAGGTCTGCAGCAAGAGCTGTCCTGCCCAGTAATGTGTGTGAAACGAGGGATGGTCACAAGTCTAGGGGCAACAGATCCTATTCCATGTCTTCACACCTCTGTCATCGTCATGGCTACTCCAGGCCGCAATTTCTCGCAAAACAGAAGTGTGACGAGGAATCCCAACGAAACCAAACCCCCGGAGAGTCGGGAAGAAGCAGCCGGGGTTCACGTGGGCCGGGTCTCAATACGGGTTCCAAAATATCCGCTCCCTAGTTTTTAGTGATAATCGGGCTGTGCTCCGCCACCTCAAGTACTAGAACGCAAGTCTACTCGTTTGCAGTGACCAGCTGCTCAAATCTTAAGAAAACGAATTGAAGAAACCACAAAAACTCAACTTCCGGTAGTGGGGAGCTTGTTTCCCTTAATTGTTGCCAGAAGGTCTTCGAAAAGTAGGACAAGGGGGCTTGTAAGCCAGATTACAATTGAGTTTTACAGCTTTTTATTGTGTGGAGAAGCCGATTCGAGTAGAACTGGGTTATGGTGATTACCAGGCCATGGAGCTCATAGTCCCGCGAACCATGTTACTTTTCTTCCTAGCCTTTCTTCTCTTCAGCGCCCTTCTCTTTCCGAGTCCAATTGACCTTCTGGTGCCTTCTGACTCAACCCCACCACGACAGTCAGTTAGGAAACCTGTCGACGGTGCGGCTTGTTTGGATCCGTTGAAGGTGTACATTGTGGACCTGGCACACGAATTCAACTGTGGTCTTGTGGAGGATTATTACAAGGGCAGAAGAGCGGGAGGCAGCCATAATCTTTGGCATGGTGATGAATTAAGGGAGGAGCTGGGGGATGACTCGGTGCCAGACAACCTTCTTCCTTACCCAAAGAACCCCAACTGGCACCAATACAGCGCCGAGTATGGGCTGCTAGCAGATCTGCCAATGGGGAGCCTCAGGAACTCCCATTCGACGGCTGTCAGAGTTCAGGAGCCAGAAACAGCGGAGGTGTTCCTGGGGCCTTTCTTATGTGCACTCAGCGCTGAGATACAGCTTGGAGAGGACCATGCAAGGTTCAGAAAGATGGATGGAAACCGTGACTACACTCAGCAGCGTGAGGACATGAAACTTGTTACGCAGACCAAGGAAGTGGCGCCGCTCTGGTGGTCGAGACCATGTTTTCATGCTCACGGGTTTGCAGAATCGAATCATAAGCCAATATTCGCTCTCCGACAGACTCCATGCTTCAGAAATTTCCTTACACAATGAGTTGCTCTATTGGCATTCCATCAAGAGTGATCGATCTATGTCTGTGTTAGTGCAGTTCTGTTTTGTTTTGCCACGGATTAGTTTGTACTTCTCGCGACGTTCTTCTCTACTTCAGAGGTACAAGACACCGGGATAGGGTGAGCTCCTTCACTTATGCCTGTTCCTTCATGTCGTCTTCTTAAGTCTCCATTCTTCTTCCTGCAGCCACAAGAAAAGCGACAGTTTCTCTTGAATATCAGGCACATCCTGCTCCCATCAACTGCATAGATTGTCAGACAGGGTTGGTGAGAGAGAGAGAGAGGCTGTGGACCATTCTCAGTGGCGAGCCCGGGGTGATTCTGGAGCAAGGCTGTCCGAACAGTACTGGGTGTGGGGATGCTCTTAGAGGCATGCGCAGGCATAAATGCTCAAGCTCTTTGCTTTTGATCTCAATACTAATTACAGCACCAGAAGCCCTGATGCAGCTTTCTAACCCTCTTGACAAAGTAAGCTTTGACACTCAAAGCCCTAGATGACAGGTCACAATTCTGTCTGAACCCTGCGGGTGACACACCGACGTCAAACCAACTGTTCGACTCCATCGCCAACCTTACATCCCTGTAATTGTGAGCAACGCGGTTTAGTTGCCAATTGAAGGCATTTCTGACTACTCCACATTTGCAGTATTCGTTTCAGTCAACGACGCCACTAGTCAGGTTACACTTCTGCAGCATTTGAGAAACATGAAAGAAACGTGGGATGCCATGCGAAAGAGGCTCGAGGAAGTGCAGCACCATTTTAAGTACGAGAATTGGTCCCCTGGAGGTCGAGGAAGTGCTGTCGAAGATGGGGCTGTGAGCTTAATCTGGAAAAACGTGAAGGAGAAGGTCCTCGGATTGAAAGCCACCATCCCCCGAGAACAGAGAAAATTTCAGGACATAACATTTCCCTTGCTTCGTTTCCCTCCCAATGCTTGTGAACATAACGTTAAACCTCTTCCTCTTTTCATATTCGCAGAATCGATTAAAACAACGAGATTCCTTAACAACTAAACCTATGAGAAACAGCAAAATAATCACGGACATGAGGTTTGATTTTTGATGACAAAGAATACGTGATACGGAATCCACAAACACACAGCTAAGTTGCACAATAGCAGCTGGTCTCAAGATAAGCTTTACAATTGAGAAGCATAGGATCCTATCGATTAAATGCATCATCTCATTACAAGATCCAGGGGTGCAAGATTATCATGCAAACATGCTACAGATAATCACATTTTTTTTTTTTTTTTTTTGTTTTTGTTTTTGTTTTTTGTAGTCGGCGAGTTACTGCAATTTTTTTGCCTCAGTTTACTGTATGTTACTATTTGAAATGTATTCGTGAAGTGCCCACGGGTAACCCATGCCAGCACCTTTATGTTCCACCATAGAGAATATCAAACAACAGTTTAGTCGAATTGTTTCACAGATGCAGCAGAATTTGAGGAACTGTCAAGAACATGAGGTACAAGTATTAAGCGGTCTAAGAACACAACCCAACTGTTGTGTGAAGGTGGATAGGTATAGATTCGGACACGGTTGCTATGATATCGGGAACACAACTGGAGGATTTTCTTATTTATCGCTTAAATAGGGGTTCAAAACTATGCAATGGAAATTTATTTCTTCAAATATCTGTCGGAATCATTTAAATGCTTCTGCAACACCACGCTTCATTCGTTGAAGTTAGTGTGAAGTAGCCGCTCAGCTACCATTCGATTTGGACAATTCAATTACCAACTGCTCCCCGCCCGCCAGCACAAACCGACGATTCAGGTTCAGGTTCTTCTTGTGGTGTGGCTGGTTATGGTCCTCCTTAGATGCGTGTGTAGAAAAGTTATTTATTTGATATTTTCAAGGTTGATGTTGTTTTTGTAGCAGGGAGGTTGTGAGGTTAGAAGTAAGAGTGCTTTAGGTGAGCTGACTTCATCTTTTGTGGTTCAATTAGAAAGATCTTTGGAGTCGAAGTGTTCTTCAAAAACTTGTCTACTCAAGTTTTATGCCGTTTGTTGCGGATACAAAACGGGATCATTTACCTTGTGGCCAAAGTGGCCAAAGGTTTAAGATTACATGGTTACAAAGTATAAGAGTTTTAGAGTACAAAAAAGACCAAAGGAATTTCTATGTCAAAAAAGCTAAGTCAAATTAGTATTTAAGCCTTTTTAGGATCAATTTTTTTATTTTTTTATTTTTTTTATTTTTTATATTGGTATTTTTTTTAGTCTACTTGATTCTTTGTTTTCAATAAAATTCATAGATCCTAAGACCTTTGTAAATACATCAATCTATTGTGAATATGTTAGTGTGTAATTTATTTCAATTTTTTTTGTCTTGATCTATGTCTTTGATGTAATAATAATCTAATTCAAAATGTTTTATTTTTTGGTGCTTGACATGATTCTGAACTAATCTAATATTGCTCATGTTATTGCACAACAATGGTATAGGACCTTCAATATTCAATTGCAATTCATTTGAATAGTCTTTAAAAGTAGGTGGTGTTGCTAGAGGCTTTAAAGAAGATACACTACTTTACTTCTATAGAAGAAAGAGAAATAGTTTATTAAAGTTTACTTGACCAAATAAACGGTATTGATTCTAGTTTGTAGAGAATCACAAATACAAATTTTTGAAAGTCATTATTCGTTGCTGTCAAAGATATGAATTTCAAAGAACCAAAATATCAATACAGTCTTGCATCACTCAAAAAGGCTAGATAATCACTCAAAGATGGTATAATATTAAATTAGAATAGCTATTGCCAAAGAAAAAAGAATTAGAATTTCTTGAAATAATACTAAGAATATAAAAGATGTTGTTGGGATATAACAAAGCTAATAGATGAAAGAGTGAAGAAAATATTTTATTATAGAAGATCTTATTTCAAAATATTATAAAAAATTATCTTAAAAATATAGATTATAGTCAAAAGATAGTAAAACTAAAAGTATAAATGTTTCCTTTTTACAAAGTGGACTTTCATTTATTTTGTAGGACCATAAATAAAGAAAAATAAGATAGATGAAAAAAATAAAATAATATAGACATATGTACAAAGAAGTTAAAAGTTGATTTTAGCAAAAGTTACCTCAAGAAAATAAGAATTGATATATGAAAAGAATTAGTTGCTAACTAGGATTAAAATAAGACTTCAAGGCACAAAACTATGCACCTACAGCAACTTCGGGATTCTTTTGCAAATCAAAGAATAGAATTTGAGAGAAGACTTTATAGGATTTATTTGAGCATTAGTTTTAGACAATTTGAGTTTGTAATGACTTTGTAAGAGCTTTGTAAAGACAAGGTTGTTTTGGTAAATCTGATTTTGTGAAATAAAAAAAAAGATTTACATTTGAAAGAATTTTGTAAGTTTGGTAGTAGATCTATAGGTAAAATTTGTGGGTTTGTATTTGTAGTTTTTTTTTATTGCATGCTATAAATTTGAGCATGATCAAACAATTAGAATAAAAGTTATTGAAGTTCAAGTAGGTTGAAGTCTCAAAAATGGGATTTTGAAAGTTAGTGAGGATTTCTAAAATTTTTAGCAATTTTCTAATTGGATTGAAGTAAAATTTATATATATTAATAGTAGACTTGATTTTCAATATATGTATAAATTTTGAAACATATTTAATGAAAAAATTAAGTAATTTTGGCTTAGAAAAGGAGGCCAACCAACATCTCAACATATTTTAAGATTTATCTTCTATTTGATAAGTTTGATCTTCTTAAAAATCTTTATGCTCGTTGCTAGATAAGTTATTGAGAGGTATATAAAATTTGAGTTGAAATAAATGGTTCAATTATTACTTATAGAAGTTTCAATCTACCATAGCATTTGTTAAGAATTTGTTTAAGATTTAATATTTGTTTTGTCAAGAACATGAATCTTCAAAGAAGAAAACCTTGATATATTCTTAAGTCACTTAAAAATACTAAAAAATAACTTAAAGATAGTAATATATTAAATTAAAATGGCTATTGCCAAAAATAAGAAGACTAGAAAGTCTTGAAATAAGACTAAAGACTAAAAAGACATTGATAAGAGTGAAAAAGGCTTTACTCTTGCCTCCATATATATTCTTAACTAAGAGCTATATTTCAATGTCCTATAAGACCTCCAAAATATGTTGACTTTGTAAGACATGTATCTTAATTTGTAAGGCAAGTTTTCTATATGTGTGCCATATAATTAGTTTATCCCTCAAACTACCAACATGTGGTTAACTTGTTGATCAAATTTTTAACCTGCCAATCAACTACAAATACATATAAAATCAAAGTGGCATCTATGAAGCTTCTAGAAAGCTTTTTTAGAAAATACTATGAAATAAATCTTTTATTTATTTCTACTTAATCATATAGATAAATATTAGAGTAAATATATGTATTTGTGATATTAATATCATTTCTAAGAATAAGTTCCACAAAGAGCAATCATCATATGTTGAAGAAATCTAAGATGCACAAAATTGTGTTTGCTACATATTCTAATCTTTGTTTTCTTTGAAGATGGTTGATAGGTCCTCTCAGCCATTAATAATGTTCGATATCAAGGCAAAAAGACCACCCCATTATTTGATTGTTGTTGAGGCTTTTATAACTTCTTTCAAATAAAACATTTGAGACATCGCCAGAAGTCATTCCTACCTCTAATAAAATCACCAAATATTGGGAGTCTCTTCTAAAGTCATGATATTAAATACATTGTAACTTAACATCTATGTAAGGAAGGACATGTTATTCTTGAGGATCTTTATCTTGATTATGTTGTCTTAAAGGTTATAACAATTATAATATCTCGTCCAATAAATCAGCAAGTAATAGCTCCTGAGTTGAATTTATTAGTTGTTGATTTTCCATCTCCTTATGAACACAAATATATAAAAGTTACAAACAAGAATAAAAAATAGAATGTTATCTTCTCTAGATTTTGTTTCTTTTATAGTAATAATTTACTATTATTTTTTATCTTAGTTTTGATAGATGTCATCAATGAAAAGCCTCAACTTTCTTTACTGCATTTGTAGGATTCTTTGTTGATTCTTATATATATTCATTAATATCATATATGTGCCAATGATTAAGATATTCTAATCTATTTTAATGCCACCTTAAATCTAAGACTTCTTCTACTTTAAATTCTTAATTATTATCCATTTTTATAGAAAGAAGTGGCATTTGTTTTCTTCTCGAGATATTCATTGTCTTATATGGCTTAAAAAAAGACATGTGGAATACAAGATAGATGTTCATAGACTCCAGTAGATATAATCAATAAGAAATAAGATTGACTTATTTACAAATAAAAAAAGGTCTAAGCTTATAATAGTCCAACTTGTTATAAGGATGAATAGTCTTAATATTGCAACAAAGTAGCCATACCTTATTATCTACAATGAATTGAGATTGTTTCTTATAATAGGTATTTTCATTGATCTTTTGTTATTTTTAATTTTTATTTTATTATTTTATTTTTTATTATACCTTTATTATTACATATAGCTCTAATAAATAATTTATTAAGTATTCTATTGTAAGATTATTAACTTTTAAAAAGTCAAAAATATTAAGTTGTAGATGATAATTATAATTAGTAAAGAA